TTATGCTTCTATCTATCTATTCTCAGGCAGAAAACCCAGAATCTCTGAACCTCAGTATGGGCATAATAATGCTTAATATAAACAACAATGTCATTGTAAAAGCTAAATCAATGTAAGACATCTAGTAAAAAGTTTTACATATATTAAGTACAAAATAAATACTAGATTTCATTCTCTCTGAAAATATTATTGATACATTTATATTCCACAGAAGCTAAATGTCTTGTAAGAATAGAAGCATCATTTTTAAATGATTATGATAAGTTCAATTCAGTTCGACAAACATTTGTGGAACTCTACTATAACTTAGGCTTTGTAATTAAATCTTTCTGTCTTCAATATTTCAACAAAGAAAATGCAAGTAACTATTCAATTAGTGATCATATAAATAAATTATGTCTTGTTTTAAAAATAGTCATTAAAAACCACGAATTCCAAAATTGCATAGTTAAAATAGATCAATTTTAGAACCAGCTTTCTTTTGATAATGAGTTTTGATAAGTATCATTTTCTATTAGTTTCATCATTTTCTAGGTAATGGCTTCTTGGGAGGTCAAAAGCACTTCCTTATTGATTCCCTTTCTTTAATCCTTACGTGTAAATTAGGTAGAATTAACATGGCTAGTTTTGCCCTATACCAGCTTCTCCAACCTTCCTCTGTCTTATTATGCCAACCCTTTTTCTTTTAATATCAGCAGCATCGATTGGTGCCAGCAACACTAATCTAGAAATAGTGTTAATTATCTGCAGCTGCAGGGCAGTCGGGGAGCATAAAACACTGGGCTTCTTGCTCAGGATCTACAAAAACAATGAAACAACAACTCGCTGTCCGCATCACCAGCAATGTCTCCAAGGGTAACAATGCAAAAAGTGGATCACATTCAAAGCTTGGGAAAGCCATCGGGTATTTCATATTAAAACATCTAAATAATGGGTTATGTGGCCGGGCACGGTGGCTCATGCCTGTAATCCCAGCACTTTGGGAGACCGAGGCGGGTGGATCATGAGGTCAAGAGATCGAGACCATCCTGGTCAACATGGTGAAACCCCATCTCTATTAAAAATACAAAAAATTAGCTGGGCATGGTGGCGCATGCCTGTAGTCCTAGCTACTCAGGAGGCTGAGGCAGGAGAATTGCCTGAACCCAGGAGGTGGAGGAAGCAGTGAGCCGAGATGGCGCCATTGCACTCCAGCCTGGGTAACAAGAGCGAAACTCTGTCTCAAAAAAAAAAAAAAAAAAAAAAAGGGTTAGGTGACCATATTGGAAAAACGTGCTGCAGCTAAAGTTCTTTCTCATTATTCATAACACTATTTTCTTTTAACTGGAAATGACAATGGTAAAAGAATCTTAGCACAATACAAAGATACCGTCTTGTTTGAGACCAGTTCTTCACAGAAAAAAAACATTAGGAGACAATATCCAAATATATGACTTTGAACATCACATATTTGGATGGTTTACACCAGCAGTAGTGGTCAAAGCTAAAGTAAAAACTATGATTCATGTTATTTTCTGATTTCAGAGGACAATTATTGTTATTTAAAACACTAAGGAAGGAGAAATTTGCTAATTATTTCAGTTATCTACAAATCCAAGTGGAGGACCTACCAGTTTCATAAAACCAATTGTTACATCCCTTGTTTCATATTTAAATATTCCTCTTTAACAAGATCATGTCTGTGAAGCATTATGTATGGAGCTGGAAGCCAGCATCCCAGAAAACCAGCAAAGGAACAGAAAACCTAATATCACATGTTCTCAGTTATAAGTGAGAGCTGAACGATGAGAACACATGGACACAGGGAGGGGAACAACACTCACTGGGGCCCGTCTGTGGGGGGAAGGGGGAGGGAGATCATCAGGATAAATAGCCAATGCATGTGGTGATAGGCTGATAATGTGCAGCAAACCACCATGGCACACCTTTACCTATGTAACAAACCTGCACCTTCTGCACATGTATCCCAGAATGTAAAATAAAATATTTAAAAATCCTTCTTTTCTAGTCTGTAAATCATGCATTCATTTATTCTGCCAATTAAAACATACTTGTTGATTGATGCCTATACCCTTCTTAATTCATTTTCAACAAATATACACAAAGCACAAAGAAAATAATGTTTAAACTTAGATTATCTAGACTGACCACTTCAATTGATCAAACTATTTGTTAAAATATTCTTCCCTAAATATTCTACAAATATTTTACGAAACTCCTCAAAGAAAACATGTACTTGCCAGTAATTCAAGATCTGGGTACACAGTAGTAAATTAGAAGCAGACCCTACCTTCATTGAGCTTTCAGACTGTCAAAGGAGATTGAGATCTGACAAACTATTATAAATGTCATGAGCCTTCTGAGATGAGAAGTTTAAAATTCTAAGGCAATGAAGAAATGAGTGTGATATATAGTATTGGGAAGAGGAGGCTGGAAAGCATCTTTGAAAAACTGTATATCCCCTGCAGAAAGGAACAGTAAATTTTCTTTCTCTTTTATGAGATCAAGGAAAGAAAAATTCAGTTGTTTCTTTAAATGGAAAAAGGTAGCAATTCTTATTCTAAACTGTGTAAATGGGCAAAAATTGATTAATTAAGCCATCTTTCTCTGCTTTCTCTACCCCATCCCCCAAATACACACAATCCTCAAATCTAAGATTTAGATTATTTATATTAGCCATTTTTATTGATCAAAGTGCTTGGCAAAGCTCTTCTTCCCTAAGTGTTGTATAAACATTCACTATGTACTGACATCCTCCAAGCAAATAAAGCATATCAAATATTAATCTTAAAATCAATTTGTTGGAAACTAGTGATTTATTTATTGAGTAGAGCATGGATTGAGTGTACATTTATAAATAGTCTCTATCAGAAATAGAACAGGACCAAATACTATTTACATAAAACATTTTGAAATTCACGCACTAAAAGCATATTAGTCTCCCCTCTGAACCCCGCTCCACCACACCAAAGGCAAAGCTTCAGTAGTGTCCTATTCAGGATCCTTCAATTATATGTACTAAGGGGCATTTGGTTATTGGTTTCTGTTAGCCTTTATCATGTTAAGTAAGTTTTTGTATGTAGTTAAATCATTTAACAAATCAGAGAAGTAATGAATGAGACAGCACAGTTGTAAAAAGCATAGACTCTGGCGTCAATCAATACAGATAGGAATTGAAGCTCTGAAAATGTCTAGCTTTGTAGCCCTGAGTCAGTTAGTTTAACCTCTTTTAGCTTCAGTGTCCAAGAAGTGTCAAGATGATGTGTCTCTGCCACAGACATGACATTAATTGTGAGGTCTTTGTTCCTCTTTGACTTGGGTTCAGGGGGCCAGAGTTGAAGTGGCAGGTGAACCTTTTGAAAGCTGTTAAATGTCTGCACGTAGAAATTTTTCCCAAAGTCTCTAGAATTTGTGATAGAACAGTTTTTGCTTTTATGGGAAATAAACTTAGTTTCTGCAACTTAGGAGAGAGATCATATATAAATCCCTATTTACACCCTTCTCTTTTTATTTCACCCCCAATATACACACGTTCACATACTAATATTTTTTTAATTTGCATGATTAATTAATGGAAATGCCAAGAAATTTACAATCCTAAATAGAAAAATGAATTTCTGGCCCAAAGCTTTGTTATCCCTCTGTAAAACTAACATCAAAGTCATGGTTGTGGGGGGTATGTCACTGTTAACTGCTTCACCCCTTTGTGCTTTCCTGTAGTACCCTGCCTTTATGGAATTGTTATTTGCAAGAAGTCTTTTGTTCTTTATATCACCAAACTGTTGTCTTCTTTCTCCTACTCCCTCTCTCTCTTATTTCCAAAAGTACTTTACTGATACACCATGATTCTATTCTGACTGAACACATTTCCAAAACCCCGACCTCTGTTACATCAACCTCCTTTGGTTATAGAAATCTGCCACTATAGAGTTAACATTGTGGAATAAAGACTTCTCCTAATCCACTCAGCATGTAAAAGAGGGTGTCATGTACATGTGCTCTTACATTATAAGAAACATCAATGTAACTTAAATATTAGCTGTTTCCTAGAAATGCTACTTATATTCTTATTCTTATTTTTCAATATTCTTATTCTCTTCCTGTTGGTGTGTTTGAGTAACAGAATTTATTTACATGCAAGTACACTAAAGCCAAAAACCCAATTTTTCTCTGAGCATAAACAAAGAGCAAAATTTTCTTTGTTCATTCAATTTAAAAGCAATACATTAAGTCCATTATCACAGAAAGAATATTCTCTCAAAAATAACTTTAAAAATCATATAGAAAATGAATACACCACTTGTTTTAGTCAGTTAACCAATGAATTCACTTTTGATTGTGGCATATTCAAATTTTAAGACTCGGCACCAAACTACACAGACTATTTCCACATTATGGGTCCTTCTGCAAACAGAGCCTATCTTACAGAAGCAGTGATTGTTGTTGTAAGATACTTGAAATCCTCCCATCCTCTTTAGAAACTGTGACTTAGCATCCAGGGAATTGACGCAAGGACTACACCAGTAGCAGTGCCTCCTAAAGAAGTTGTGCTGAAGGTTTCAAGTCCCAAATCCCTATTTAGTGACCTTTAAACTCTTTTTATAAACATCAATCATTTTTTCTCCTTTAACTTTCCAACTGTCTCCTGAGGGAAATAAAGATGGTTTAATAGCCATAAACAAAAGTACATGGTGGGTACAAAACTAACTGTTCCCTAAACTTTGAAAAAGCACAAACATTTAGCTATAACATTTAAATATAATCTTTGTAAGATCTTCTTTATTCAATAATATATGCCTCAAATTCTATAATCCATAGTAATTGTGATTGATTCCAATGTTTAACCTAAATGAATCATAATTGTATCAAATAAGCTTCTGAAACTGTTTCATAAAATTCTGCATAAAAGATTAGCAGGCACGGTCAAATATTTACACTCTGCAGTTATTCCCAATAAGGAGTGCTGTTCAATCAGTGAGATTAGATTTAACAGTGTTTACCTGTGTGTAAGCCTCCGGTGACTAATGCAGACTGCTGTCTGAGAATCTTGAGCAATGCATACTTTATGATGACTACATTTCATCTTTAAGCATGGATCTTTAGCTGGATCTAAAGTTAAAAAAATTCATAGAAAATATTAAAATCAGCTTCTGTAAAAGGGAGTTATCAAATCCTGTCAAACACAATTTGATCAGGTAATTTACATAGTGTTTAGTTATAAACTTTCTTCACATTCTTCCTCTATTAAGAGATACTTCTGCTTCTACCCACATAACAAAGAGTTAACAGTCAGCTGTAGTTTAGTCTCACCCACTTTATTCAGAAGCTGAGATGCACATACCTCTATGATCAGACAATGTGTAATCAAAACAGAAACTTGGAGACCCAAACTCTGTAATCTTACTACCTTCTAAGCAGTAAAGGTGGTGAAATAAAGTTAGAATATGTTCCTGGAATATTTTATGACAGTGGAAAACTACAATGTATTCCTTTGCTTTCCCTAGATAAATGCTGGTGGGTAAATACAAAGGATGAAACGAACAAACAAAAATGTCACTGGACATCAATGGATAACTTTGGATATCCAAAAATAGTCTAGAACTGTGCTTGGCGACTGGATGAGTATAGCATGTAAGAACTGAGATACTGCATTTTAGTTTTATATAATTTGTGCATAATATTTTTACCACCATTTCTTCAAACAAACTTCTGTCTCCATGGCTGCCAACAAAAAGTCTACATGGAGTGTTGATTTTTTATTTTTGGTAACAGCTTTATTTACATATAATTCACATATTACACTATTCAGGCAGTTAAGTTTACAGTTAATGATTTTCAGTATCTTTGCAATTGTAAACTACCACCACAATCAATAATAGAGTAATTCTATCCCAACAATACCTAAACTAACCTCTTGTTATCATCTCCTATTCCCTCTCCCCTCCACTAATATTAGCCAACTTTCCATCTCATTTCCATCTCTAAGATTGGCCTATTTTTGACATTTTATTTAAGTTGAATGATAAAATTCATGATGCTTCTTGCCTGGTGTCTCTTACTTAGAACAATGATTCTGAAGTTCAATCATGTTGCAGCATGAATCACTGCTTCATTCCTTTCTATAGTGAATTATTATAATCTTTTTTATTTTACAGATATATCACATTTATTTATTCACTAGTAGCATTTTGCTTGTTTCCACTTTTTGGCTATTGTGAATAATACTGCTATTGGTGATCATTCATGATTAATCCTAGTGACACTTGGTTATAATTTGTTGTTGTGGGCAGACCAGAGGGGGGGTGCAAATAAACAAAAGGCACTGAGTGTCCAGATTTGGTTCATGCCAAAATTGAAAGAAAGAAACAATGAAATATGCTAAACAAAACAATTCTAGTGCACAGAAAGAAGTAGAACCAGAATAATGTGCATTCAGAATTTGCAGAAATATTTGGAAGGGCTCCAGCTGCCGGTGGACATAAAATGTGGATTTGAGATAATCTTTGAGGGTAAGCTCAAGCTGATGTAAAAATCAACTTTAGCTTTTCATGTATGTGTTAACTCTTAAGCATATTTAGTCAATAGCCTAAAAAAGGTGGATATATTCTGATAATCAATGCATTTTTAAAATTTCATTTTTGAGACAGAGTCTTTCTCTGACACCCTGGCTGGAGTGCAGTGATGCGATCTTGGCTCACTGTAACCTCTGCATGCCAGGCTTAAGTGATTCTCCAGCCTCAGCCTCTCAAGTAGCTGGGATTATAGGCACGTGCCACCACACCCAGCTAATTTTGTATTTTAAGTACAGGTAGGGTTTCACCATGTTGGCCAGGCTGCTCTGGAACTCTGACCCACCTTAGCCTCCCAAAGTGCTGGGAATACAAGTGTGAGGCATTGCCCTCAACCTGATAATTAATACAATACAATGAATAAAATACAGACCTAAGCTATAATGTATATGCATATAGATCTTACTGATTTCAATATATAAATTTTACTTATGCAAAAATCTTATTAGAGATTTTATATAACTATGAGATTTAAAATAAAGAATGTTAACATGTATCATTGGTGAAATATTACAGACATTTTATATTAATCCATGCTAAAGTTCACTATGCAAATGTAAATTGCTACAACATTCTTTTCAGACTATCACTTTGAATCATCATTAGTCAAGAAATGCTCTCTTCAAAATACTGCACTATAAGAGTGTATGACTTTTTGTTGGATAACATAAAAAAAAAACCACACACGATAACCTAAAAGACATCAAAAATGTTTTGAGCTATTTCTAATGTTTAGTCTCTGTTGATTTCTAATTATTAAAATAACAAAAAAATTTATTAAACAGTTCTGCCTAACAATTAAATAATGCCATTGTTACCTGCCTCTGTACTATACAGACATATATGTTATATACTACTTTTGAGCGTATTCTATCTTGGATGTAAGTTCTGAAAAAGGAGTCTTTTCATTTTGAAATAAAACACTATAGTACATTTAAAATTATCATTATTAATGTAGTTACAATTTGAGTGCAGACCAGTAATATTACAGCTATTTTTTTCTTTACCTTATATCTACATTTGATAATTTCCAAAAGTTCTATGACACACTTTTGTCACATATGCTCAAGAAAGTGGAACTCAAAAATTGGTATACAGTGAAATGTATACCAATGAAAACAATGAAATGACACATGAAAACAATGTAATGAGTTTACATAGGATTCTACGTAAGTGACCAAATAAGAGAGAAGCAGTATTTGTCATGAGGTGGAAAACACAGGAGTGAAAATAAAGAATAAGATGCAAGCATCTACAATAACAAAAAGACCACTTTCTGTGCATCAGATTTTAACCATCTGTATTTTTTAGTAGAACTCACATTGTTGGCAGCTTAAAAAACACAAAACATTACATGCTGTAAATACAGATGCTCAAGATTTTATTCTTGAAACCATAACAATAACACAACAAAATTCTCTTGGCTGAAGCCCAATCGGTCCTGTGCCTTAAAGAGGTCTGGCATAAACTCATCATCTCACTCTGTTGTGTTCTTCTTTCCATCCTGTTTTCCATTTGACATCTCTCTTCTGTTCTGAATGGTTGTATTCCGCTTTCTCTCAAGCAACAAGACAAACTTCCTCTAGAAAGATTTCAGCAAGTGCATTTGACTTCTCTTGGCTATGCTCTTTTCTTCACCCCTAATAAACTTTCTGGTCAGTGGAAACTAACCTGGGCACATGACAAATACGGTTTTCTTTTTTGGTTGTGTTTTAGAAAATGCCATCTGTATTTTAAACAACTGGCATATAATGTATCCTTTGAGCTTCATCATATTTGCAATGTAGTATTTCCCTCAATTTTTTACCAGAATACTTGTATTTCAGTCCAGAATTTTTCCCAGTTATTTCCAGGTGAGTATAAACTAGGAAGAAGCCGGCCTCATCTAGCCCATAATGGTGTGAATGCCGCAGTAAACAAGGGCAGGTGAGAGTAGAAACGTAAGTGAATGGAGCCCTGGGTTAAGTGAAAAAAGAGATGTAATTCATGAGAAGTCCTAATGTAAAGGGAACAAGGAAGTCAAGAAAACAGACCTGGGTGGCAATTTACAGGGAGGAGCAGAAAAGTTATATTGCTATTCATTTCTGGTGTTTGTGGTTAAGAAAAGGCAGTCACACCACTGAGGTGTAAAAATTGACATTAATGTTAGTATTAAGAATACAAATGACCACATAAACAGAAGCAAAGACAAAAACCACATGATTATCTCCACAGATGCAGAGAATGCCTTTGACAAAATTCACCAGCCCTTTATGCTAAAAACCCTCAATAAACTAGGTATCTATGGAACGTATCTCAAAATAATAAAATATCATACTGAATGGGCAAAAACTGGAAGCATCCCCTTTGAAATCTGGCACAGACAAGGATGCCCTCTCTCACCACTCCTATTTCCTATACTATTGGAAGTTCTAGCCAGAGCAATCAGGCAAGAAAAAGAAATAAAGAGTATTCAGTTAGGAAAGGAGGAAGTTAAATTGTCTCTATTTGCAGACGACATTATTGTATATTTAGAAGACCCTGTTGTTTCAGTCCAAAATCTCCTCAAACTGATAAGCAACTTCAGCAAAGTCTCAGGATACAAAATCAATGTTCAGAAATCACAAGCATTCCTATACACCAATAACAGACTTAAAGAGAGCCAAATTAAGAATGAACTCCCATTCACAATTGCTACAAAGAGAATAAAATACCCAGGAATACAACTAACAAATGAAGTAAAGGATCTCTTCAAGGAGAACTACGAATCACTGCTCAAGGAAATAAGAGACCACACAAACAGAAACATTCCAGGCTCACGATTAGGAAGAATCAATACAGTGAAAATGGCTATACTGCCCAAAGGAATTTATAGATTCAATGCTATCCCCATCAAGCTACCAATGACACTCTTCACAGAACTGGAAAAACCACCTTAAACTTCATATGGAACCAAAAGAGAGCCCACATAGCCAAGTCAATTCTAAGCAGAAAGAACAAAGCTAAAGGCATCATGCTACCTGACTTCAAACTATACTACAAGGCTACAGTAATCAAAACAGCATGGTACTGGTACCAAAACAGAGATATAGACCAATGGAACAGAACAGATGCCTCGGAGGCAATCCCACACATCTACAGCCATCTGATCTTTGACAAACATCATAAAAACAAGCTATGGGGAAAGGAGTCCCTGTTTAATAAATGGTGTTGGGAAATCTGGCTAGCTATGTGCAGAAAGCAGAAACTGAACCCCTTCCTGACAACTTACACTAAAATTAACTCCAGATGGATTAAAGACCTAAACATAAGACCTAACACCATAAAAACCCTGGAAGAAAACCTAGGCAAAACCATTCAGGACATAGGCATAGGCAAGGACTTCATGACTAAAACAACAAAAGCATTGGCAACAAAAGCCAAAATAGACAAATGGGATCTAATTAAACTACAGAGCTCCACAGCAAAAGAAACAATCATTAGAGTGAACTGGCCACCAATAGAATGTGAAAAAATTTTTGCAATCTACGCATTTGACAAAGATCTAATATTCAGGATCTA